TAACAAATAAACCCTTGGAGTGAAGGAGGTCGGAATCCATACTTGAAACATGTTGTCTAAAATGTCCAGTACTCAACAATTAAAAAAAAAAAAAATGAATCATTCAAATAAACAGAAAAGTGTGACTAATACTTAGGGGAAAATAGCAGTAGGTAAAAATGGACTCAGATATTAGACTTAGTAGATAAAACCTCAAAGATGCTATTATAAATAAGCTAAAATAATTGAAATAAATTATATTTTAAAAATAAACAGGACAATTACTCAAAAATAGAATTATCAAGGGAAATAGAATCTATACAAAAGTAACTAAATGGATTCTAGAGTTGAAAAATATAACAACAAAAGGAAAAACTTACAAAACAGGCTCAGCAACAGATTTGAGAAGGCAGAAACAGTAAAACTTGAAGACAGATCAATAGATAGCCACTTTTAAGAAGAGAACAAAAATTTAAATAAATAAATGAACAGCCTCAGAGACCTCTAGGATAACATGAAGTGTATTAATAATAAGTTAAATAGGAGTCCAAGAAGGAAAGAAGAGAAAAAATGTGCAAAAATAATTGGCTAAAGAAATAGCCCATTCTGATGAAAAACATTTAATCCAATGTTTTAAAATTTTCATTGACCCTAAAGTATGATAAACACAAAGTGATCCATGGTCTCCACCCTCTGGTGTTATTTCAGCCACCCAGTCTGTGGTATGTGTTATGGCAGCCCAAGCAGGCACATACCAGGAAATACCTATGTTAACAGATGCGAGTGCAGATCATGTGGAAGCTCCATGTGCTACGTCATTACCTAAATGCACTCCATCTTTCCTTAGCCACAATCAAAAAAAAAAAAAGAGAGAGAGAGAATGAAAGCCAAAATGACCGAAATTAAATTTTGGTAGATGAAAGCTGGAAAGAAAACTTAAAACTCCTCACAGAAAAACAGTGAGTTCATGAGCTAATATTTGTACCAGCATTATAAATATAGAGAGTGATCACATTTTTATTATATAAAAAAGGAAGGCATTGCCAGGGACTCTCTCCAAATGTTAATGGTGGCACTAAGAGATTCTTGTAGGACCTGGCTACCTAATCTAGTGGACCCCTGGTCCGTAGCCTAATGTCATTCTGGAACATCAAATTGCCAGTACTTTTCATTTCTTTTTATAAATCCTCACCCAAGGACATCTTTGCATTTATCTTCAGATGGAGCAGGGAGAGAGGGAGGAAGAGAGAGAGAGAAACATCGATGTGAGAGAGACACATCGACTGATTGCCACCCACACAACCAGGGCTGGGGACAAACTGCAACTGAGGTACGTGCCCTTAGCGGGAACCGAACTGGGACTTTCTGGTCCGCGGTCCTACGCTCTAACCACAGAGAAAAACTGGCCAGGGCTTTCATTTCATCTTTTTTTTTTTTAGTGTGTTTTTTAAAAATTGTTCTAGGTTTTCTACTTTAAGGTTTTTGTCTAGGGCTCCATAGTGAAAATAAACTTTACTTCATGATTGTTTTGTGTTCACTTTAATTTCAGAAAATGATCTAAAAGTTCTATTTACATGTTTCAAAATTACTGGAAAACCTTCAAATTTTAAATTTCTAAAAATTGGGCATATGTGAGAATAGGTAATATAGAACCACAGTGTGTCACTTTCTTTACTTTCAGATGTGGTAGTCTATTGTTAGTAGTTTCATTCATTGAGATTTAAGTGAATAGCAAGTAAAATCTCTCATGTTTGCATAGCCTTCGACTTTAAAGATCAGCTTATACATGCAGTCTAAAGTTCCTTCATTCTCCCAAAGGACAATTTTCAGATGAAAATCATGCCCTCGGTCACAAAATTTTTTGTTACCATAGTGATAAGCATAAAGAATTTTTAAAAAGCTAAAAATACCTGAATACATACAGACAGATTTAGGAGTTTGACCTACTTGGTGTCATACACTAAAGTTAATCAAATGAATTAACTACATATGCATTAAGTGAAGTAGTCTACTGAATGATAAAATGCGTAGGTTGCACATCTGAACTATTACCCACAATCAAAGAAGTCAGTATGAATGAAGATGACTGACAATCTAAAATGCATACAATCAGATTCTCTTAAAAATGGAATATATTCCAGAAGCAAGTTGAAAACCATTCCTTTACCTCTATTTTCCTTTTTCTTTCCTTTCCATTAATTAGAATATTACCATTTTAAATGAAAGTTTCTTTTGCACCAAAATAATTTCTCTAACTGGATGAAGCAACATAATTGAACATACATTTTAAATTATGATAGAGTGACTCCTTTCTATAAAGCAAAGCTTGCCAATTTTAGGCATTATAATAAAATAAATGTTTTTTTAACTAAGTTTTCTTTTGAAAATTTTAGTTTGTATAAGAAGTTTAATAGACTCAATCATTTACATAAAACCTACTATATTTCAAGGCATTAAGCTAGTCTATGAAATATCAATAAAATGCAGTACTTGCTGTCAAAATGCTATGATCATTCATTTTTTATGACATTGACTTTTAAAGCGTCTCCTATGGTAAAATGGAAAGAGCACTGGGCTTCACTCGAAGAGACCAGGGAAAAGTTCCAGCTCTATTAATGCTCTTAGGAAAGTCTCTTTCTAAATCTCAATTCTCTCATTTGTAAAAATGAGCTTATCAACTCCTCTAGAACACAGGTCATTATTATGATAATAAAAAGAGACGATATGGGTGGAAATCAATGGATGACATTCAATAAATAGCCATTATAAAAATGAGTCATTATGTAATTAGGTTCACTATTTAAACATTTTCTCTTTTTTTATCCTCAACTGAGGATATTTTTGCATTTATTTTCAGATAGAGCAGGAAGGAGAGAGGGAAGAAGAGAAAGAGAGAGAAACATTGACATAATAGAGACACATCGAGTGGCCACCACCCACACAACCCCAACCTGGGCCAGGGACAAACCGCAACCGAGGTATGTGCCCTTAGCAGGAACCGAACCCGGGTCTCTCTGGTCCACGGGCCGACACTCTAACTGCTGAGCCAAACTGGCCAGGGCAAAACATTTTCAAAATAATTATTAAAATTTATTTTTAGAATTAAGTATACTTAATAGTTATTTAAGAAGAATAGCAAATATCTATTGAACACATAATGGAAAAAGCATTTTACATGAATTATTTCACTTAAACCTCACAACAGTCAATGACAGATAATATTATCTTCCTCTTATAGTTGAGCAAAATGAGACATATCAGAGATAAATTATCCAAAGACATACAACTAGTCAGCAGTGGAGTGAGGAATTAAACCCAGGTACACTAATTCCAGAACCATGCTCCAGATCTAAACCTTTGTGATACACTCCAAAGTAATTGGTAGAGAAAATACCTCTGTGAAACTTAACTTGAAAAGAAAACATATTTTACATTACTAACAATAATTAGTATAAGTTTCTGAAATGCCTAATTCATTATATTTAATTTTTCATTTTATTCTTTATTATAAAGAAATGTGAAAATAATTAATTTTTTTATTTTTTAAATATGTTTTCATTGTTTGTTTTGTTTTGTTTTGTTTTTTTAGAGAGAGACAAGAAGAGAGAGAGATAGAAACATTGATATGAGAGAGAAACATTGATGGGCATACCCCCTGCACACCCCCTATTGGGGACCGAGCCCTCAACCCAGCATGTGCCCTGACTTGGAATCAAACCCGGACCTCTCAGTCCATGGGATGACACTCAATCCACTGAGCCACACTGGCCAGGCAGAAAAGTGGAAATAATTTAAATGTACAACAGTAAATACATTATAGATAGTCCATATGATGGATTATTAGTCAATCATAAATACTACTATAAGAGGTACCAGTAGCTTGGAAACTTATGAGTATTGCTAAGCAAAAAGATTTTCAAACATGTAGAAAATAATCTCAATTTTTATAAAAGTAATGCACAGAAAAAACTGAATAGATTTCAAATGTTAATCACTGCTATTCCTTAGTACATTTTATGTATTTCTGTATTTGCAAATTTTCTATGATAAATATTCAATGTTTTTGTCATCAGGAAATAAGTTACTTAAACAAACAACCTAATCATGACCACTGAAGCACAAAGTGATTTGGATGCTTCTGTTTGTCTGTGAACATATGTTTCTTAAGAGTCTAGAAAAGCAGTCTAGATACAAGGGATACAGGACTGATAAAGCAAAGTCCATGGGTACAGAATTAGGTAAATTTACACCAAGAACTAGTGGAAGAAGAGAACTTCAAACCTATAACGAACCTTCAACCTTGTCACTCTCACCTGAATCACATGTTCCTACTAGCAGGTGAGTCCTATTCCTCCATTTTAAAAGGTCCTGCTGTGATTACCTCTTTTCCTCAGTTAAATTGTGGATACATCCATGCATCATCTCTAAATATGGCAGCAAGCCATAACAGTAGTATGAACACAGAAGGAAATGTTGACAATAATCTCGAGAAGTTAAGAAAATTTTTTTTTTACATATTGACAATTTATTCCCCTTTACAAGTGTTTAGAGAAGGGGGGAATGTTGTTCCATTTAAATATTCTCACACAACACTATCCTTTCATTTATTTACTTTCTAACTGTAAAATTTTATTACATTGAAATAGTTTACAATGTATAAAATATTATATTCTTCAGTACCAAATCTAATTATCCACCAAAAAACTTATTAGTATCAGTATTTAAAATATGGTAGTTTAAAATACACTCAGTTAGATGTAATTTATAGCAAAACATATATTACAAGATTAAGAAGCTAAAATCACTTCCTCCATCCACCTAAAAAATTTAATTGTATAAACTTTTTAAACCTATAAATCTGTTTCTTTATATATACTAAAATCAAATAAAAATAAATTTGAGGAAAAGAATTTATATGACAAAATTAATAAAAGAAAAGGAAGGAAGAAAAGAAAAACGGAGGAAATAGGGGGAAAGGAAAAGGAAATGGCAAAAATAAAAGAAAAGGAGAAATTACTTGCCTTTATGGACCAGGTCCCAAATCTGATCAATTTGCTGCTGAGTTGGGAAATGACCACAGTCATTGAAGAACTTAAGCAGCTCACTTCTTTCTAATCCTTGCCAATATTCTCTCTTAGCAAACATTGTTTCATAGACTAAAAGGATGGAAAAGAAAAGAAGAAAATATCTTCTTTACAAATAATATATCAGTACAAATCACCTAAAAGTTTCATTTGGATTTGAAGAAACTTGAACCCCAATTCTATCTTTATGTCTAGTAATAAGCCTCCATACTTAGAGTAGCACTGTGTCAACCTCCTACAGAAGGTCAGAAGGAAGTGCAATTTGGACTTGCTTCCCCATAGAGAATCTTGGCATCCTCTGGCCTGGTTTACACGACAGCTGTCTACAGATCCTACGAACATGAATGTTCAAACTACGTCATAAGACATAGCTTCTGTGTCAAGATTTTGGGGGTGGGGAGACTGTCTTCTGCTGACCCATTTCAGTATTCATTGTTTATTATTTTCCCTAATTTTTCATCTCTTTTTAACTTCTACACATTCTAACTACTTGAATTGTTGATTCTACTTTGAACTGATTCTTCTACTTCTGATTTGAACCCTAAATGGAACAATGTCTACTTTTTCACTGACGTCCTATATTCTTACTTCCCAATGTAAGGTTATTGGCTGTTCCTGGCTCAAGGCTACCACAGGTAACCACTCAGTTAGGCCATCCCTCCCCCCTCTCCCATCCTTGGCATCAGACAGTGGTTAGGTAATGGTGAAGAGAATTGATGCATGCATTTTGTAAGTGTAGTTCTCCACAAACATTCTCATTCTTTCTTTTCAACATGGTGATATTGAATATTCTTATGTATATGGATTAGCCCCACGAAGATGACGGTTAATTAGCATTTACAAGATGACAATTGTTGCCTCAGTATAGGTGTAGTTCTGAAATATGGGCTCTGGATGACAAAGGCACCAGAGAGGTTTCTATCAAAAGTTAATGTATCATCTTGGCACTCAGTCATGTGGACCTTAACTTGGTATTCATTCTTTCATTCAGTTCAGGTGGACAGTCATGAGACATTGACAAATTCCAGCCATATTTAGTGATTGCCTAAATATGAGTAGAGACCCTGAAGCATGGCAGCAAAATAAGTTCATACTTAGTATATCTATAGATTTTTCTCTCATTTCAAATAAGCAAACTGGCGCAGTTGCTGTTGGTGCCGCCACCATATGGCCTTGTTTCGTACATTTCTGAGCGAACAGACTTGATTTCTTTGCCAGCCTCTGCATTTCATTGCCTAAGGGCTCCCTCTGGATGTATATTAGGCCCTAAAAGCAAACATCCAGCAACATACTAGCAGAATTAATATTCTAGGCAGGTGTAATTAGGGCCAACATAAAACTTAAATCATGAAAATTGATTAAATTTTTCTGGTCTTTGAAAGATACTTAAAAAGGTGCACAGATATTAAATATCAACCCTATTAGCAATCAAAATATGGAAAGAATAGAAAATTTTCTAAGGAACATGACAAATAGCAACTTGCAAATTCTACGGACACCTTCGTTGGTAATTCTTTAAATCCTTCCTTTAGCTAGTCCTGTTCAGATCCCAACTGGACTTCTTTACATCCTTGCCTCATGTCAGCCTATTCTCCAAAAAGCCAGGGTGATGTGTTCAGATATAAACTGCTCCATAGCCCTTGGTTCATAATGCTCCGCCGGCTTCCCAGCGTGGTCAAGGTGAAATCCAGTGGCCTGTAAAGCCAATGCAACCTGTGTCCCCACTCCCTGAACCTCTTCCGTCTCACTTTGCTCTGCTCTGGCTCAAACACACCATCTAGTGCATTAGCCTCCTGGCTTCCTCTCATAGTAACTGCCTCCAACGTCTGGCCTGTGCTTGCTTCTCCCTCTGCCCAGAGCGTTCTCCCTCCCTCACTTTCTTTAAGACTTTTATCCAAATTCTCAGTTAGAAACCACCGGGGTTCAGACTAAAAAACATAACCACATTCATTTTTTGGTTTTTGTGTGTTTTTCCAAACAGAAAAGGTTATTTTTAGATGCAAAAATAGTGTAATCTGAAGTTACAAAATCAAGGAGGAAAAATCATGGCAAGAAAGTGAAACTAAGGAAAATAAGAAAGATTCTATACGATTAAAAAATGAATTTAGTGACAGAGTTTGGGGGATAGAGTTAAGACAGAATAAAAATAGTGTGGGCATTTAGCAGAGGCTATGTGATTTGGAAGTCAGTAGGTAAAAATAAAGTGAGTGGAAAAGAAGCGGTGGTTAGCATAATAACTGTAAGGTCCTAGTACTTATTTCACTAAATATTAATCTATCTGTACATTCATACTAGATTATGGGATATAAAATGACTATCCATAAAAGAGCATTATTCAGCAACACCTTCACTACTTACATTTTTTTCTATCCATCCATTCCTCTAGCTCTGCAAAGTTTATAATTTGTCTTGTCCTCCAAAGACCCAGTCGATGTTTAATACGATGGATTTGTCTGCAATACATGTTTATAACTGCTCTCAAATTTGGCCCATGATACAAAGCCTATAAAATAACAACACAGACAGTAAAGCTCCTATGTATTTCTGCTCTTTATGTTTAATTTCGGTTTGTTCATTTCATTTGAGCTACCTCACCCAGCTTCTTAGCTTACGGATGTATGTATTGTTCCTTGACTAGGTTAACACGTGCATTATACATTGCAATAAGCTCCCTGAAGTTCAGCATTTCATTGTGTTTCTTTGTCATCAGATACTTGTACTTCTCATAGAAGAGAAGTTTCAGTGATGGATACTTTCATAGGAGCTTCCCAGGGTGACATCCAGGTTTCTATAATATATAGACTACCCAGCCAGAAAAAGAAAAAGATTAAAGTTTTATTAAAGCATTATTCTGTAATGAACAACTTTTGCCTAAGCTATACACTCTGAGTCCTCAAATCCTTGTATTTTCTTCCTTTTGAAAACTATATATTCGTGTCTTTTCCCTAGTTTTCACTGGACTTTTTTGGGTTATTTGTGCTGATTTCTAAAAACTCTGACTATTAAAAGAAATAACTTTTTAGCATATGTGCAAATTTTGTTTAATCAGTTTATCTTTCATCTGTGACTATATTTTTCTGCATATTAATTTTCAACACTCTAATAGACCTTTAAAAATTAAAGTATTCATCTATTTGAGGAATTTTTTCTTTTCTAAATAGTCAGTTCCATTTTATTTATCAATTCAATTATTTTTACGTTTTACATTTTCTAGCTCATTAATTTTTCTACATGTCTTCATTAATTCCTTTTTTTAGCCTTTTCTCTATTCTCAGCTTCAATTTTCATTATTTTTTAAGAACGTATTTAAAGGTCATGAATTTTCCCGAGTCAGCTTTCCTTTGATGTGCTTTGCATACCATTTTACAAGTGAAAAAAATTGAAGTATAAAATCTTTAAATAACTTTCCTAAGGTCCCATAGGTGGGACCTTAGGAATCAAAACAGAAACACTCCAGAGCCCACACTTTGAATTATACACTGTATTTCTCTTAATTTACTTCAATTTAGTATTTTTCACCCATTCTGTGAATATTTGTTTTGACTTCTTTCCTAGTGTATTTCCTTTTATCACACTCATGATTTTTATTGTTTTTGTCATTTATTTTGTTTTGTGTGCTTTAAATATTATTTTTATCATTTTATTTTTTACCTTTACTTAATTGTGTGATTCTTTTCTGAAATTTTTAAATGCTATGCTTAAGCCTATAGTTCTTAATTTTGTAATATTCTCGATAAAATACTGCTTACTTTGCTTGAATGAAAAAATTAATTAGCATAATGTCACTACTTTCCTCTTCTCCTTTCTCTTTCCATCTGACTGTCCTCAGAATCCAGGCAGATTCTGAATGTTTGCTAATGTCTTTCAACATCTAATGATATTTTCTAATGTTTATTTCTAATCTGCCTTTTGTTCAATAGGTCCTTGTCGTTTTTGAAAAGTAATAATGAATTGGTAACAATTTTAGAGTGTCCCCCACCCTATGAATCTTAGAGGCAAAATTCACATCCTACAATTTGAAGCTACAAATCAAATGCTCATAACCCAAGACCCTCTGTAGCTAGGTTGCAGGCATGTGACATAGCTTCTCCCATTATCTACAACAGCCTCAGGTTTTGAATAGAAACTAATAATGCTTTTAAAAGCAAAATAGTGGGAAATCTATTTGTACAGTAGAACAACCGTGGCAGCAATATCCATTTGTTCAAGTGCAGTGTTCTTCGAGGCCAGAGTACCCAGCATTCAGTACGTGCACCAGGTTCTTTCTCTGCAGGATTTGGCTGGAGCTCTGGGAGCTACGCTCATTATCTCTTCTCACTGCTGAGTTTAGTTCTCAGACCTCTGCCCAATATTCTACTCAGTATCTTCCTGCTTAAATCTGTCAGCAGGTTTCTTTTGTTTATAATTAAAAATCAAACAATGTTTCAAATGTATCCTTAGAACATGGCCAAAAGGTCCCTGCTCGGCATGTGCTAGCCAGACAGATGACATTTGCTAAAAGACCAGGGGCTTTGGGCAGCCACCAAAGCCAATTTGCGTGTCTTTCCCTCTGAATTTAATAAATCTGTTTTGGGGTACATAAGTTATCTTAGGAGGACAACCTTCTCAGGTGGGAGGCATTCGGAAGATTACCGAGGTTTTCCGGTTAAGAAGTTGTGTTTCCTATCACAGCATGCTTCTCTGCCAGGCCTCTGCATGGAAATATGTCTCAGCTATGATGCTGCGTTCACCTCGGTATGTAAATATCTACATTTCTAAACATTCCTCCAGAGAGAATGTATCTGGAACATGTACAAATTGACATTTATAACAGCAATATTAAAATAGAAAAGACTCCTTGAAATTTACTGATTATAATTTTCCAATTCCTGGTGACTTAAAGGGTAAATAAATGTATCACACTTATCACACTTCAACATTTTTAAAAAATTGTTTTTCAGTATGTATTTTCAGTCTGCCTTTTGTTTGATATGGTCGCATATCTTTTTAAAAATATGTAATTAATTAATTGCTTGTTTGGTGAATTACACTACTGCATAACACTCAGTGGGATTTAATTTATTTGACTTTTTTAGCAACATGTTTACTAGCCATTTATGTTTCTCCTACTGTAAAGTACTAGTTCATGTGTTCTGTCTATTCTTCTATTATTACTGTGTTTTTTATCAGTTTGTGAGATAGATGTTTACATGTAACCCTTGTGCAATATTTCAGCAAATGTTTTCCCAGAGTTTAACTTTCAAAAAAAGTTACAGACCTATAAGCAAATACCTTGATCTCATTCATTGACATCTCAACTTGTCTAAACACTTACGTAGGATCTTTATTCAAAATTTCATAAAAACAAAAAAAGAAAAGCTTTTAAAATGACTAAACCTATATACAATGAAATAAAAACATAATATTCTGAATAGTTAAGCGCATAAACACACATTTAACAAATATATCAGCCACACATAATATGAAGTATGATTTTTGTATTCCACACCCACTAAAGAATTAGTGAAGCCCTTTTGCCAAAATGTAGCTGCAGGTCGTATCTCTCTTCTGCAGTTGGTTCTTCTCTCTTTCAGGCTTCTTCTCTGTGTCTTCTGACCTAGATCACACTGTTGACTTTTATTGCTACCTGAAGCCCATGCTCAATCATTCCATATCTGCCTACTTAGTACAAAGACAAAGTGCACATTTTGGTCACCGGTATCACGGAATCTTATCTTCTTCCAATGCACTCTGTAATACCTTAGCAGCCGCTCCTGACCACCAGGGACCTGGCACCTCTCTGTACCAATATGCCTATGGCTCTCCTCGCCATCTCCCTCAAGTGGGCACACCCCAGCTGGATCTGCAGTATCAGAAAGGAGTTTAATCTAGCCTCACTTTTTTAAAAACATATATTTTGTATTGATTTTATAGAGAAAGAGAGGGGGAGAGAGAGAGAAATATCAATGAGAGAAACATTAATCTGCTGCCTCCAACATGCCCCCTACTGGGGATGGAGCCCACAACCTGGGCATGTGTCCGGATGGGGAATCTAACCAGTAACCTCTAGGTGCATGGGATTATGCTCAACCAACTGAGCCACACCAGGCAAACTAGCCTCAGCTTTTTTGTTTTGTTTTGTTTTCCTTTATTGATTTTAGAGAGAGGGGATGTGAGAGGGAGAGAGAGATAGAAACATCAATGAGAGAGAACATCAATTGGCCGCCTCCTGCATGCCCCCTACTGATGATCGGGCCCACAACCTGGGCATGTGTCCTGACTGGGAATCGAACCAGTGACCTCTTGGTACATGGGTGGATGCTCAATCGCTGAGCCACATCGGCCAGACTGGCTTCAGCTTTTGACAGGACATTCCAATATCCATGTGGAGCCTGATTTGAGAAAATAATTAATTTTGTAATGATTATTGGATACGATGGTTACTAGAATACCTCATGTTTTAAAGTTTCTAGAGTCAGACAGACTTAGGTTTGATTCTCAAAATTTGAGTATTCCACTAGCCAAATGTGTACATTTAGACAGGCTATGTTACCCCTCTGTGTCTTACTCTTCATAATTACAAAAGATAATTAATTATACAGTCCAGAGGAATGGTACCACTTCAATCCTTGATCACTAACCTCATCTGGGTTCATACAGTGGCCTGGAAATTCACCTGTGTTTTACTAGTCTCTCTCTGCCATTTTCTATGCAAACTTAATCTCCACAAACACACTCTCACCATCTAAACACTCACAGAGAATAAACAGATATCAAAGGAGAAACAAAACAAATATAGGTGGTCCTGGCCTCAGAGTAAACATAGTCCCAGAAGTGTTTTTCGGTTCAGGATAAGACAAGCGTTTTGTTTCGAGTCTCCAGCTTGACACAGTCAGCAAAGGACATTATTCATAACATTTTCTTAATCCAAAAAAGGTAGACAGAACTTTAGAAAAATCATAGATTTATCGACCAGGTGATTATTCAAAATTTCACTCTTTCGAGTCTACATTAGATATTGGAAACACCTCGCAATATTTAATGTGTGCTTTACCTTGACCATTATTCTTTGGAATCTTTTGCGTTCAAGCCAACCTCTGACATGCGCCTGCATGAGGGTGATCATGTTGATTGTTTTTTTGGTAATTATCATTCTGCTCCTTTCCCGGAATACTTGGAAGATTTCTATGTGTGGTCCAATTCTTTTAACTTTACTGTCAAATTTGTCACTTTTACTCAGACTCTGTTGTACCCTAAAAATATAATATATAACTTTTTATTATAGTTAATAAGAAAAATAAACACTTTTGAAAAGTCTTAGATTTATTTCAATGATGAATATATTGAAACAGAAAATGTATTGTAATTTGTACACAGTCATCATTTACATTACCTGAACATGTCAATAGGCTTCTCCAAAGGAGGTTGAACATACCAGAATCAATATAACATATATAAAATTAACCTTCTGAAAATAGAAAACTCCAAGTAAAGTGAACTTACCAAAGCTTACTGGCAAGTATTCAAAAGAAAGAAACGGTATCTAAGGAACAAAATATTTTCATACGACAAGGCAAGGGAGTCAAAATAATTTTTCTGCTCCAGAAGCAATTAGACTGAAGACTACTTTAAACTTATGTGGCACTGGTACATTGCTGAAAAATCAGCCGAAAATCACTTTCATTTTCCAAATGCTATCAATTGAGAGGCACAGTAGTGTATTGGTAGGGTCGTGGACCACAGGATTGCAAAAGTGAGGGATGGTGGCAAACCCTGCAACACTGGTACAAGTGCCCCCACAGTGGTGATAATATGATAAAACTGCAGCCTTCCTCTCATGGACAGAGGCTGTGTAACCTTGGTAATCTTGCACCTGCTCTTCTTCTTTACATGGCTGTTGTATTTTTTATATGGCAGTCCATTTTTTCAATGTCTTCCAAAGTCCAAAGTCTAGTTTCCTTGTAATGTTCAGCATACAAAAAGCTCTTGATTATTTTTAATTGTTTTTGTTTCTACAACGTGCATGGCTGAGCTCCAGTGAGATGCCCAGGTGAACTCCCACACCAGAGCTGACTCATGCCCTACAGGTGCCCTGTATAGAGGCCTCTGAATCCGAGGCCCAACTTTCTTGATTCCCAGCATGAATGGCCCTGACTCTGTTTCTGCATTTCTTCCCCCTCTGAGTCTGTTTTGATGTCTGCATTGAGCTGGTCCTTAATGCGCCTTGTTCTGTTTTATACACAGCCATGATTTTCCTTCCCATTGTTGGGAGTTGATTTTGACTGAAATGTTGGGACTATGAATTTGATTATTTGGCCCATGTAGTCTCTTTTAGGCAATAGTTGGTATATGACAGGGAATTCCACATCAATCTTTCTCATTGTCATTTCTGTTAGTTTGTCTTGAAGCTTGCCGTATCTTCCCAAATATCCCGTGTTATATGTTGTTTGAATACCAGTATAGCTAAAATAATTAAAGAGATCATTTGGGGACCACTAGAATGGACATCAGCTCCAAATCAAGAGACATTCCCAACAAGAATTACTTGGAGATCCTTTTTGTCTCCTTGACCTTCCTACGCTCAACTAGCCACAACTGACCAGTGACATTGCTCAGGCACAGAAAATTGTCCTCCGTATTTATGTTTGACTTTAGCTAAAGATGTAGAATTGAGGCTTTCGTGTCTTGGTGCTGGTGTGTGTAAATGAAAAGTGTCCTTGCAAGAGAATGGGAATTAGCCTTGTACAGTTTCCAGTCACTGTAGCTCTTTTATGTCTGTGGCTTCTTTCATTTTCTCTCTCAAGAAAACTTGTCTTTTAATGAGTCAAAATCTACCAGGTTGTTCTCTGGAGACATATGTGATATAAATAGACAAATCTATCAGAAAAGGCAAAAAAAATGAAGTTTTCTGTTTGTTGTTTATATTAAGATTGATATTGAATAGCTTAGAAAAGAGGGTGCTCTGACTTCTGAGAGGATTTTTGCTTGGTTAATACAACAATGTTCATGAGTGGGCTTTCATGTATGAGATAAACAAAATGGAGATAAAATAGAAATTATTATTTCTGGCTTGTCTAGAGTTTCAAGACCTACTATAAAATCTAAAGGATTCTGAGTCCATGACTTTTTCTTCTTTCTCAGAGAATAAATAGGAGAAGTGTCATAGAAATGTCCAAATGATACCCACAGTTCCATTATATAATAATAAGGTTTAAATAAATCTTAAAGTGATATGTGTGATTGACTGTAAGGTGATATGTGACGTGTACTGTTGAAGCTTCAGCAGTGGTCACAAGAGCTCTGGTATCCTAAGTGGCCTTGAATGGCAGACAGTTCTTAGTCACCTACTCTGACAGTTCTTTCCAAAACAGTTTTCTCCAAATTCAAGCCCCAAATTTAAAAGCCAACTGTTATAATGTCTTTTTAACCTGTCTTTTAGGTGTGCCACCTGGCTACAGGACCAAAGGTTTTCTTCTCCACTATGTAAAAGGATGCTAGAAATGGCAAGGTCGTTTTGGCAAAGTCCAAAATATGAAAGGAGGTCAGTGATCAAAGAAAAGTTCTGCTTTCTTAAGGTAGATATATAACAAGTAAAACATTACTGATATACATGTGCTGGAAGCATACTGTGGTAAATTGTTGCATCGATGGCCAATTAACAACTCATTATATCTCTATCTTTGCAATGTGATTTTGTAACTCCCCCCATCAAGAGATGAGTCTATTAAACCAATAGACTGGCTTTGTGAGTTTCAATGTCTGGGCTGGCTTTGTGAGTTGCTTTGACCAATAGAATCCAATGAAAGTGATGCTGTGATCATTCTGAGCATGTGCCCCAAGAGGCCTTACACAATTTTATTCTCTTGGAATCCTACCTGTGCATGAGAATAAGCCTGCAACTCTCTAAAGGACAAGAGACCACGTGGAGAAAGGACAGGTTGTATGCAACTCAAGTGAGTTGTACCCTCAGGGTGATATCAGCTGAGTCCGGACCAGATCATCAAAATTGCCTCATGAAAAATAATAGTTGTTTTAAGCCACCAAGTAATTGTAGCAACACATAACTGATACACATATTTGTGTTTATGCCCAAAGGCTAATAAAATAACTGTCAAATTGGTTTGTAGAAGATTTTTACTTTAGAGGCAAATTATCTGTGTCAAGTAGTGACACTCATGACAAACACTTTGTGGGATAAGTTTTTGAGAAAAACGTGAGGTTTGTGAATGTCCACACTGTGGGTCATGTGTTCTTGCTTCAAGGTGCTCAGTGACTAAATCCTGGGATGAATATGCTCTCAGGAGAGGGCCCCCTTCCTCTCTACACGGATATTATTGGTTATTGCACCAAATACATATGTACAGTATGCTGTTCGGTCGTATCTTCAACAGGTGATTTCTGCCTTTCTCACACTTGCCCAAAGCTCCTGATAAAAGTTAGAGTTCATAAATTATGTCTTCTGAAATAAGCATAAAAAGAACAGTAGCCTTATACAGAGTGTGTTTTCTTAACCATTTATAGAAGAAAAAGACTAAAAACCACAGGCTTCTCAATTTAAACTGATATTATAACCATGAATCTGCTGTAACTCTTTTTGTCCAGAAACAGACTTTATGTTGCTTAATCCAAGTTCCAAGCAAAACAGGAACTAATTATCTAGAATTGAATGAACAGATTAAATTATGATTACTATTAATTATTTAATTTAAAGTGTGAGAAAATTCCTTTTCTTGTGAGGAACTATTTATAAATTCCTATGTTTTTTCTTTTACTTGTATAACCTAGAATGAAGCATCCTTTAAATGGTATGGAAATAGTTCCAACACACTCCTCAGAACTCTAGAAAACAAAATCTTAATGAAAATTTTAATAGTGATCATTAGTTAACAAATCATCAGAAATAATCCTATAAAAATTAAAAACACATATTAATTTATTTTATCTACAGAATGATGTTGCATAATAAATATATACAAAATGCCTTTATTGAGTTATCTAAGTGTTTATTTACAAAGTTTCAATAAAGGTCAATACCTCTTTTTCTGCTGTGATATAATTGGAAAACCTGGCCAGTATCCATATTCCATACTAAAGATATCATATTTAAAGCAAATAATTACTAGATATGGTGGCTCCTAGTAAGGAACGTGGACTCACGTGAAAATAATGGGCACTAAGTCAACCAGCCTGGTTTCTCCTTTATTACTTAAGAAATTCTCACCTGATAGAACATCACTTTCTGACAAACAAGGAAGATTGGAAAAGTTCGGGATATTAAAAAGAGACAGAAGGTACTTATACCATTATATATAATGTAGGTAGAACCTGTAAAGGGAAATAGAATGATTCCCAACTCCTACACTCAACAGAAGTGACAAGGACAATAAAAATATCTCTGCCATATAAAATCACTAATAAAGACAACATCAGGGAATTTATCAATCTTCTAGACAGAAGTTACTGATGCCTTGATATCAGATGATTCTAATTTTGCTAATCCTACAATGTGGGCATCTTTATGTTTTAAACAATACCTCTTATTCCATTTATGTAAATAAAACTGGCCCAATAAAACACCAAGTTAGCCCTGGCCAGTCTGGCTCAGCGGTTAGAGCGTCCGCCTGCGGTCCGGAGAGACCCAGGTTCGGTTCCCGCTAAGGGCATGTACCTCGGTTGCAGTTTGTCCCCGGCCCTGGTTGGTCGTGCGGGTGGCAGCCACTCGATGTGTCCCTTCACATCGATGTTTCTCTCTCTCTCCCTTCCTCTCTCTCCCTCCCACTCTATCTGTACAAAAAATGGAAAAATATCCTCGGGTGAGGATAAAAAAAAAAAAAACACCAAGTTAATGATATTGAATCCAAAGTTGCTGAACCAACTTATTTAGTCAAAACTGTGCCTTACAGTGCAAATGAACCACAAGACAGGGCTCGGGAAGCAAGCTGAGAACCCACTTTCCTCCCTGGTGAGAAGTGTTCACATAATATCTCAAGTGACGGAACAAAGGCATCTTCTATTCTGTCATAAACAAACACAGGTAATTCTCTCTAGCTCTAACGTTCAAAAAAACTATGTTTGAAGATATTCTTTATAGTTTCATTTATAATGGAAGAAATTCAGAAATACATATCTGAGTAAATAGTGTTATATCCAATGAATAAATTATTTTGTAGTCATAAAAGTGATACTTACAAAGATTATGTAATAGCTTGAGAAAATGCTTCTGATTTCCAAACGATGTTGATAATGAAGATAT